GTTAAGCAAAAGATTGCAGATAATAATTTTCTTTTTGGATTTATTTTTGAAAAATTTTTAGAAAAAACTATTTGCTTTTATATTTAATTTTTATATGATCATAACTTAATAATAAATAAATAGTCACTACATCGTTACTATTTTTTACCACTTGATTAATAAATTGTCACTATTTTGCAATTATTTTATTATAATTTAATTAAAGTTACCTCGAAATCATATCGCTATAATGATATTTTATTAATAATTATAGTAATGATATTGTCACTATTTTGTAACTAAAAGTTGTCACAATATAGTTACAATTTGTTCACTATTTTTCTAAAAAAAGTTAGTGACAATGTTATCATAGAAATAATGATTTAATTATCACTAAATAACCGAGATTTTGTTGTGACATAATAAAAATTATTAAATCGCAATTGAATCTCCACAATTTAGTACAAAATCACAGCAATTACATAACTAAATTATCAGAATTTGATAGGTTTCAGTAAAGTATATAAAGTCAATACAAAAGCTTGGATGACAAGAACCATATTTGAATAATGATTAAAAGTTTTTAATTTACAAATAGTTGATTGCAAAGTTATTCTTTTAATAGATAATGCATCAAGTTATATTGTTGATATAGTAAGTTTTAGAACACAATTGTATATTTTTTATCTTCAAATATAACTTCTAGAATTCAATTAATAAATACTGGTGTAATAATATTATTCAAGCATTATTAATATTCTCAATTTGTCAAATGACTTTTGGATTGATATGAGTCTGAAATCAATAAAAATAATATGAATATACTTATTGCTATATAGTTTAGTGTAAATGTTTGAAATGATATCTTTTCTATAATTATTTTTAATTATTTTCACCATATTAATATTTTTTCTATAACTATGGAAATAGATAATAATAATAAATTAATAAGTGAGCTATATACAAATTTTAATGTTTTTCATTTATAAAATATCATGGAAGTTGAAAAATTTATCAATTATTTGAAAGAGAATAAAATCAATAAGCAACTTATTGATCAAGAAATTATAGATCTTTTGAAACTAAAAGTTAATAAACTTAATAATATAAAAGAGATAAGTAATGCAGATATGGAAGATAATGAAGAACATGACAATAGTTTAGAAATACATAAAATTACAAATCAAGAAGTATCAAATATACTAGAAACTGTTTCTTAATATCTTATGCAACAAGATTATAATCTAATATAACAAATTAACACAATTTTGAATATTAATAGAGTAATTAGAAAGTTGCAAATCAAAACAATGCAACAATTAAGTCTTGAGTTATTTTTGGATAATAATGCAAATGTGAAATAAATAAATATTATTTTATATTTTACAAATAAAATGTTTGTTTATATGTATATATTTATACTTTTTTTTATAATTATAGCTCTTTATTTTTGCAAATTTTTACATATATATTGTATTTTACAAAAAATATGCTTATTTTTATTAATTATATCTGCATGTATAAAAAATTCAATTTTAAATCACATGTTCTTTAAAAAATATTGTATTGGATATTCTTGTTTTCTATATATATCTAATTTATAAATTTTATCCCCTGTTATATTTATAAGTTCAAGAGTCTCTACCTATACAATTGTATAAATTGTACCAATAAGTTTGTCATTTGTGTTACAAATTGTGTAGCTTAATATTTATCATGGATACAGATCTTGAATCTTTGCCATAGTATATTAGCATCAAAGAATAATATACATTTATTAATTGTATGAAATTTTTATATATCTGTAAAATATTATTATAGGCTATATTAGTATTGTTCTTTGTGCAGCTATACAAAACATATATATTCTTTTACTCAAGCTAGTATATATTTTCTGATAACCTAGAAGCACTTTGATTTCTGATATGGCAAGCAAATTTTTGGTTTTACAAATATAAGAAGGAAAATCTTGCTATAGCATTTGCTTGAAATTAAGTATCATGTTGTATAGCTAAAGTGGTATTATTGCTTACTGCATCTATTTTAGAAAGCATTCTTGGATTACGAGTATAAATATTAATAAGAAAAGTAATATGTGACATATAAAAAAAGAAACAGTCACCATAGTTATTTTGTATATCATTTTTAAAGTTGTCTTCACTTGTATTTGCAACACAACAGGCTTTAGCAGTATTTCTGCAGGATGCAAAATCCAGTTCAAACTAAATGCACCACTTTGTAATATTTAATGGGCTTTTTGCATCATATTTTCATTATTATTTGCTCCATTTGTTACTCTTACTTTCAATTCAATATATAATATCTTTTGTGTCATTTCCATAAGCAAATTCATGCACCTGTAAATAAAAAAAATAAATTAATCAGTATAAGTCTTGCTATTATTTGCTCTATTTGTCATTCTTACTTTCAATCTGGCATATAATATCCTTTCTGCTATTTCTGCAGGCAAATCCATACATCTATAAATGAAAAAAATCAGATTAATCAATGTAAATTTCAATTAATATAATATAATTAGTCTTTTATAGATTGTTTGTATGATTCAGATGTACTAAAAATACTTCAGATTGGTACATAATTAGTACTTTACTTGTGCTATATGAAAAACAACAAAAATAAAATAGAATAGTATCTTCCAATTATTTGAATCAATTATAGATTCATGTGATTTTAATAGTATTAATTTTTTTTTAAGTACATACTCTTCTTAAATACAAATTATAGCATAGGTTTTAACAACCTGCATTTAGAAAGTATTAATTGTATCTGTTTATATATTTGAGAAATAAAAAAAAGTTAATATATTTTTTGAATTTATAATATATCTATTGTATATATTCTCCTTTATTTTCAAAAAAATATTATAAAATATTTTCTTTTAATAGTTTTTTTGGATGTTTCTTTGAAGTGTTTTTAAAAATCGTCAAAAAAGAAAATTTCTAGAAATTTTAAAATTTATAAAAAAGTTTTTTTTTATTATATAAATTTGTTTGATTATTAATTAATCAAGTTTTTATATAAATTTATAGAATAAATTTTTATTATAATAAAAAAATTATTTTTATTTATTTGTAAACTTTAAATATTATTTTTTAATTTGATAGAAAATATAATAAATAATAATTTCAATTATATTTTTAATTTAATATTTTTTGAACTTATAAAGTTTATTTAGAAACAAAATTAATTTTAAAATTAATATAAAATTTTTTATTGAATAAATTTTATAGATTTAAAAGATATTAAATTGAAAAACAATATTTAAAGTTTATAAGTAAATAAAGAATATATAATCTGAACTTTAAAGTTTATATTAAATTATTAAATAAAAAATTTTTTTTATTATAATTTAAAAATTTATACAAAAATTTATATAATTGTTATAAAACAAAAAAAATAATAAAAAGTATTTTTAATTTAATATTTTTTATAAGTATTATTTAATAATTTTTGTTTTATAATTCAATATATTAAATTCAATATATTTTAACAAATTAATTAATATTCGGTAATTAATTTTTAAAAGATATTTTTTTCAAATTCAAATAAAAATTTTTTAATTGAAAATATTTATTCAATATTATTCTTAAATATCAAATTATAAATATGGTTTACCTTATTACCTAATTTGTTTACTAGATCTGTTGTACGAGCAGTATCATACTTAGCATTATTGTACAAACCTTAACGTTAAATCGGTTTTCAGTTAGATATTTCCGAGATACGCTATTTGCTTCTTCCAACAAAATTACATTTACATGCCTTTTGATAATATTTATTATAATGTTTTGTCTTTCACCTCTTTTCCTTGTTTAGAATTATAACGTGTTTATGGCTTTTTTATAATATTCACGAGATCGCCAGACATATAGTATGTAAGTAACAAAAAAACGTCTCAAATGCCATAATATTCGAGATGACATCATGGTGCAATATTGTATATTTCGGTCATATTCTCTTCTCCAATGTGACATAGAACACTCTCCCAGTAAATTCTGTATTCGTAAAGTTTATCATTAATATGAAATCCATTGCCCCAAGAGGTCTTCTTTTGAAAAAAAAAGAAAAGATTATATCGTTGTATAAATTGATTCATTTGAATTACTTTGATGAAGGCTTTTCAGCATTAATATTCCCCGCGTGTATACTTGAAGCTAGAAATATCACATGATTTGACGGTGAAATTTTGCCAAGAAATTTTTAATTCTAGCTCCCGAAATATGTATGGTATATACTGTACATAATTAGAAGCGTATTAATTTTTATTTAAATAACTTTAAGAAATTATAATACCAATTCGACATTGTTAATATTTTGTTTATTAATTTTAATAGTATGTAAGAATAATTATAAATATAATAAGATTAAAAGAAATTTATCAAGTTTATGTTGAATTGTTAAAAAAGAAATTTTTTTTTTTTTTTTTTTTTTACATTATATTATATACAATAAGGTGTATATAAATATAAACTAATTTTTAAAGTTATAAATTCTTAAATTCATTTTTAAACATTTTAAATAAAATCTTTTGAACTGCAATACAATATCCCCAAAACAAAATTTTCGTCGGGTTCGATTATTATATAAGCTATTATTATGTCTTGTCAAGATAATGAATAATGTATTCTTGTGATCAATATGAATTCTGTTGGGATTGTACAATGATCAAAATCTAAAATGAATTAATAATCGAATGTCTTTAAAATAATAATTATTATTAATATGTCAACAGTGTACTCCACAAGGTTACGTGTGTTATCAAAGAAAAGATTATCCAATTAAATATCATATGTATATATAACCCCTAGATACGCACGCAGTCGTAGTTTTAAATCCAAAACGAAATGTATATCGGTCGATTGTTTCCAACTTAAACTTATATCCATCCACTTTTTTTAAGTCAATTTTAACTTTTTTAGAAAATCGATTTGATCTTGTGCTTTATTTAGTATAATGCAATTACGCCTTTCTTGTCAATACTGTTGCTACTATTTTCAGTCATGTTCGAACTCACCGCTATAATTATACCCTGGGCTTATGCATGTACTACCTTTTCCTCTGCATGTTTCGCAAGCAAAGGTTTTACCACGACTAGTATTGATAAAGGGAACTCTATACCGGAAAAAGTATGCTGCACGTACAATAAGAGGAGGGGGTGAATTGTATTACCAAACACCTGTTTCGCTCGGTGTTAAAATTTCATATACGGATTATTTGGTTTCGATAACCCATATAAAAGCTTTGGTCAGACTTATCAAATTCCAAATAACAATTTTTTCGTGATATTCTTACATCTGTACTTAAAAAAAGAAAACTATTAGTAGTTTCAGTGTAAAAAAAGATCTTAGACCAAGTGAAGTAATACAGATATCGTACAATACGCTTGTAACGGTGTGATGATAAGAGTAGTGCGCGCTTGTTCACAAACAACTCTTTAAAAAAAAATCTTTTTCTTGTAAATTAAAAATCTCATTGTTAACCTAAGCACTTACGTGAATTAATCACAATGTTGGGAAAGAAACATTTAATCTTAATTCTAATTGTTATATCCATTACGGCTATTGGTGCAAATTCAATACAAAAAAGACAAAATAATACGCAATCAGGAACCGCGCCGGCTCCGGTGCCTCAAGTCACAACGGTACCTTCAGTCTCGTCGGTTGCCCAAGCTACAACCCAAGGACAAACAACACCAGCAGCTCAACCAACTCCAACAGTTCAACCAACTCCAACAGTTCAACCAACTCCAACACCTCAAACATCTTCAGCAGCTCAACCAACTCAAGTAGCTCAAACAACTCAAGTAGCCTCAGCATCAAATTCTGCGGCTCCAACAACTCCGGCTGGAGCTGAAACAACAACCCAAACACCTAGTACGACTTCTACAACAACTACAACTTTACAAGGTAATCAATCGAGTTCAATACCTCAAACATCTGTAACATCTGTTGGTAGTTCAATAGTTGACACCACGAGTATCGCTCCATCAACTTCCGACGGTAGTTCATCAACTTCATCAACTTCGTCAACCGATCTAACATCACAGTCTCAATCGTTATCAAATGTAACAGAATCATCGTCTGGTGTTACCACTACTAATATCAGGACGACAACTGATGCATCTAAGAGCTCCAAAACCGAAGAATTTTCTACTTCCAAATATACTCCTCCAATGCAAACCACGTCTACCGTAAATGTTTGTAGCAATAGTGACTGCCAAGTAGATACTACCATGTAAGTTGGTTCTATATTCATGTTGCGGTTGTTTTTCTTTCTACTTTTCGCCTTCTAATTTTATTAAAACATCAGAAATACAAGCGTGAAAGGAAATATCACCACAATAACCGCACCACCCGATACGGATACTGCTCCCCCGACCACCATAACGCAGTCCAGTGATTCTAAAGTAAAATCCACGGTGTATGTAACCACCACCTTTCTTACCACGATTACCGAGGTTTACCCTGGTTATACCACCACCTTACGTTCCACAGGTACCAACGGAATTGTATCGGAGTATTCCACCTATGTCCCACCGAGTACCGTGGTGGTGGTGAAGATGATAACAGCTGCTGTTCAGGAGAATCTTGTAGCAAGTGGCGATCTTGGGTTGGGAGCATTGAATGGCATAGCGATAAGTTTGTGTGTGATCGGTATTACTTTCGTGTACATGATCTTAGTATAAAGCGCAGAATGATTATTGTTCTGTTATCATTATCTTCACCTTCAATGTAAAAATGAATTAAAATTAAACTGTGAAGATAATCTTTTTTTTTTCCAAGCATCTTTTTACAAAAGTTATTTCGTAAATAATACCATTACAAAATTATATTGTAATTTTTCTAATAAAAAATATATATATATAAGATGGTTTGTAAATTTTCTACTTAAAATTTAGTGTGTATTGAAACTTTCATTGTCTATAAACATAACTTTTTACTTGTAGATCTTTTCATTTCATACGTACTGTATATATATTTTATAAGACGAGATATTATATCAATTATCTTGATTTTAATTAAATAAAAATTACCGTTTATACAATATACAGTTTATTATTATTAATTAAAAAAACATTATTACATAATTAAAATGTAAAAATAAGTTTACTGATAATATTTTTATTGATTTTATTTTATTGATCTGTTATTCTTATTTATTAAAAAAATATTTGTATAGCAAAACGTTTTTTTAAAACATTATAATATAATTGAAAACAAAATAAAAATAAAACAACATTTTTTTATTAATCTTCTAATTGTTATTTTCAAAAAAGTATTTATAGCAGATATAGTAAAATTTAATTAATATAATTTTTTTTTTTTTGATGTTAGAGTGAGGTATTACTCATGATCTTTATTAATAAAGTAAAAGTTTAACTTGTTACATAATTAATATTAAGAT